ATACTGCCCACTTTCATCAACCCAGTGCTCTGAGGAGACAATCATATGTTTCAATGTGAAGAATCTTCATTCCAGTTGGAACCTTATAAAGTCCACATCCATAAGCAAATTCAAATCAGGATAGGCCATCCATAAAATCTGCATCAATATGCCCCAGTTCACATGCTCAAAAATCTCTTCATCTGGTCGGGTTCTGGTCAACTCAATGTGGGCTGCCTCACTTAGCCTCCCCAGAGGGCCCATTGATCGCCTTGCCTTTAGACCAGGGGCTCTCACAAGTACTCAACAAGCCTAGCCCCCTCATGCTAGGTCATGAACTTTAGACCAGTCAACCCTCTCTCTTGCTTTCTGATGGTTGGACCGGGTGCAGCTGCCTTAGCCAGGTCCCTGCTTTAGCTACCAAGGCTCTCTTTCTGCAAAACATCCCTGAGAAGCCACATGGACATACCCCGATGCAGCCCTGAATGCTGGAGCAGCCGTGTGGAGACCCCTGCTGGCACTGAGATGCTTACATGTTCACTGATTCAGCTTTCCTCCTGCAGTCGGCATCATTGTGGGTGTTTTGTGAAAGTTAAGAAGACTTTGTAGATTAGTATCAGACATAGGGGCTAATGTTGGACTTAAGGGCTTGGGCAGTACTGGGTTGAGATGCTTTCTTAATGTACACTTACCATTTATATAAAACTCTCTATTATACATATATGAGTTTCTGTGGATTTGTTTCCCTAGTTTACCCAGACTAACACAGTAACACCCAGGAACTCTTAAAGAAGAAAAGCATACCACTGGGCAGTTCTACTCTGTCCTATCGGGTAGTTATGAATCAGAATTCACTCGATGGCAGTGAGTGAGTGAGTGAGTGAGTGAGTGAGTGAGTGAGTGAGTAAGTGAGTGAGTGATTGAGTTCTGTAGATTCAAGGAGTCCTGCAGGCACAGAGGTTTACCACTTGCTGCAAGGTGTCACTTTGAACCTCCCACCTGAGCTGAGGAAGAGAGAAGTGGCAGTCTGTTTAAGTGAAGCTTTAGAGCCTTGGGAACCCTTTGGGCAGTTCTCCCTGACCCATAGGGTTTCTTTGAGTTGGAATTTACTCTATCCAAATACCTACCATTGTAGATTCTAAGAGCATTTCCAAAAAGAGCAGTGAAAATTTATTTGTTAGCTAGAGCTTGTCAAAGTGAGCATTAGGCAATGAAAAGCTTAACCTTGATGAAAAGCCTTCCAGATATTACACATGACAGATTATAGAGAACTTAGTGCATTGATAGGTGTCTACTGTGAATAACATGTCCACTTTCTTTATGCAAAACAAAAACGCTACCCTGGAGTCTATTCCAACACATAGCAACATTATACCGGGCTTCTGACACCCTAAACCGTTACTGGCGCTCTTCAATAAACTAATTCTTCCTGTGTGAACCATTAAAAAATAAAAACCTTTACAGCTTATGCATTTGAGCTATTGATCTTGTAGTTAACAGCCCAATGCCTAACCAGCGGCACAACCACTGGTTCTGAACAGACAGTGTCCAACAGATTGTTGCATTAGAGTGAGTGGGCAAAGGTTTCCATACCTGTTAATAATCCATGGTTCTTTCATCGGGTAGAATCTCTCTTCCTGCCCATCATTTTTCTTAAAGCCTCTTTCATGTCCTTGTTCCTGAGGCTGTAGATGAAAGGGTTCAGCATGGGGGTCACCACCGTGTACATCACAGTCGCTGCAATGTCATTCTCAGCCGAGTGGGAGGAGGAAGGGTTGAAATACACAGCAAAGATAGTGCCATAGAAGATAGAAACCACGGCCAGGTGGGAGCCACAGGTGGAGAAGGCTTTCCATTTTCCCTTTGTGGATGGGACTCTCAGGACAGCAGATGTGATGTAAATGTAGGAAACCAGGATGCAAACAAGTGGAATGAGAGTTATCAGACCCCCCTCAGTAAGAATCATCATCTCGTTGAGATATGTGTCAGAGCAGGAGAGTTTCAGGAGAGCAGCCCCATCGCAGAAGAAGTGGGGGATCCTGTTGTCTGCACAGAATGAGAGCCAAGCCATCAGCAGGGTGTGCAACAGAGAATGCAGACTAGCAATGCCCCAAGATCCAGCAAGTAGCAGGGCACAGAGCTGAGGGGTCATCTTTGTTGTGTAGTGTAAGGGGTGACACACAGCAACAAAGCGATCATAGGCCATCACAGCCAGGAGGCAATGGTCCATGACTGTGAACATAATGAAAAAATAGAGCTGTGTGAGACACCCAAGGAAGGATATGGTCTGACTCCCCAGTATGTAGTTGACCAGCATCTTGGGAACATTGGTAGAGGAGAAACAGAGGTCCACGAAGGACAGGTTGCTTAGGAAAAAGTACATGGGGGTGTGCAAGCGGGAGTCTGTGCTGATGGCCAGGATAATGAGCAGGTTGCCCAGGACTGTGGCCAGGTACATGCTCAGGAAGAGCAAAAAGAGGATCTGCTGCTGCTGGGGCTGCCTGGAGAGACCCAGGAGGAGAAACTCAGAGACATTGAACTGGTTTGCCGAACCCATAGTTCTAGGATCAGTTACAGAGAAGAGAAACTGTGGGCAGAAACCTAAAACTTGAAGTTCCAGATGGTTCAAGTCAGGATCTAGTCGTGCTCTCGTTTATGTTATCAGATGACTCAGTCTCAGGATCTGTCCCCAGTTCTATAAAACCATCTTTGGGCTCCCAGTCTTAGATGATGCTGGTCCCACTTGATTCCTCCTTTTAATTTGGTAAAGCATATACAGGCACATTCTTATCCCATCTCCATAACTGTGTAGGTCTCTTAACATTTCCAAGTCATTCTTTCACTCCTTAGTAGCTTAAAAAAGACATAGAAACAGCTCATTGTCATTGAGTTTGTCTCAGTATACAACTTATGAATTTAGTACTCCAGTTATTGCTCCCTGAATCTATAAAATTTAACAGAGAGAGTTGTTAAAAGATAACTAGGCTAGTAAATATATAATCGTGTCTCTTCCGGTGTAATCTCACATTAAGAAAATTGGCATTAAAACTCTCACATGTTCTTCATTCTGTTTGCGTGGCCAATACTTCTCTCTATTGTGGGCATGAGAAAGTTTTGGAAGTGTGGCCAGGTTCTGAACAAATCAGGAATTCATGTTCTAGTCCCCTGTGCATAAGAGATATTTGGGGGAAATCACAGAGCAGGTATTACAGAAGTCTTCATTTCCATTGGGACCAGATTCCCTAAGAGCCTCATTAGATACAAGAAAGAAGTAATTGTCCCAGTTCTCTTTGGTCCCTTCGTGTCTCATCACACAATGATGAGAGTGCACATTATGTAATTCCTAACTCAGGACTTGTAAATGAAACTATCTTGGTGAAGACAAGTCTCAAGCAGGATCCCCTGAGACCTCAAATCTCATCCCTTTGCTAATCTGGGCTTATGTCTATGGATTTAAAAATTAACTTCATAAACACTTTTCTTCTTAATTTCTTAGTTTAGAAACTTTTGTCACTAAAGTATTCTTTGTGTAAGCCTGTTGAGTTTTTGTGTGTCTTTCGCATAGAGGTTACTTATGGGTTTGCAAGTTGGATGGTCTCCCTACCATCAAATCTATGCCAAGTCATTGTGACTCTATAGGACAGAGTAGAACTCCCCTGTGAGATCTTGTCTTTCTCCATAGGATTGGCTGGTGGTTTCTGACCGCTGACCTTATGGTTAGCACCCCAACAGGTACCAAGTAGACCATCAGGGCTCCTACAGGCACATTAGGTGAAAGTAAATCTCTTGGTGAGTCAGGAAGATGGGTGGGTTGTGGAGATGGGGCGATATCAAGGACAGCACAGCATGTCATGATTAAGGAACTCCAAGGACTAATGACTTTTCTTGGGATGTTCTCATAACACACACCAGAGGATGCCCCACCCCACTCTCCCTAGGTTCTTTAAACTATAAAGCTATAAGTGTGTATGTTCTTGTAGGTCAATTTATACTACAACGTTCCCTCCCCTCACTCCACTGAATAGTCATGATCATTGTTGTTAGATGCCATCAAATTGATCCTTACCCCTAGAGGCCCTGTGCACAGCAGAAGGAAAAACTTCCCAGTCCTGCTCCATCCTCACAATTGTTCCTATGCTTGAGCCCATTGTTGCAACCACTGTGTCAATCCATCTCCTTGAGGGACTTCCTCTCTTTCAATGCCCCTCAACTTACCAAGCATGATGTCCTTCTCCAGGGGTTGGTATCTCCTGACAACATATCCAAATCCTAAGGGGTGATTGTGTAATTGAAGGGGGGAAAAATTAAGAGAGAGACAAACATTTTGGGGTGCTCACCTTCTTGGTGTCAGAAACCAGAGCCACAACATCTTATATTCTCACAGCACCTTATATACTGTTAGAGGGGTATGCAAGCCCTCTAATGTCAGGTAACCACATACATAACAAAGTGAGCTGTACCCTAACCCTAGAGGTCCCGTGTTCATGGGAGGAGTAACCTAACACCAGTGCTGGAAGGCAGGTAAGGGGGAGTAACTGTTCCCTGAGCAATGAGAGCAGTCTGCTCCTATAGATAAAGCTGCAGGCCCAGATAGCGATCAGCATGTGCCTGTAAGAGGTAACTTCAAAGCAGCACTATTATGGGAGGATATTTTGGGGATTAGTTTGGGTAATGAAAATGTGATCAGGATTTTTCTCTAACTCCTCCCAGAATCCTGGCCTCCCAGGCTTCTTAAAATATGAGAATAAATAATTCATCCACATACACTTTCTTCCCAGTCCTCTGTTTCCCACAGGAAGACAAAATCTCTCCATCCTTGCCCCTAAGGAACACTCTGGCCCTAGTCCTTCCAAGGCAGATTGGTTTGTCCTTTGGGCAGTTCATGGTAAGTTTTAATATTCTTCTCCAGCAGCACAAGTCAAATACATTGGTTCTTCTTCCGTCTTCCTTCCTCAATGCCCAACTCTCACATGCATCGGAGGTCATTGAAAATGCCATGCCTCGGATCAGGCACATCTTAGTCCTCAAAGTGGCATTCTTGCTTTGCACTACTCTGAAGAGATCTTACACGGCAGATTTACCTAATGTAACGTGTCTTTTGACCTCATGACTGCTGCTTCCATGAGCATTGATTTTGGAGCTAAGCAAGACAACGTCCTTGACAACTGCTCACCTTTTCTCCATGTGTCGTGATGTTACCTACTGCTCCAGTTGTGAGGATTTGGGTCTTATTTACATTCCACTGTCATCCGGGCTCTGCATCAGCAGTGCTTCAAGTCCTCTTCACGTTCAGGGATCAACATTGTAGATTCTGAGAGCATTCCCAAAGGAGAAGTGAAAAGTTGTTAGTTCGTTTTTAAATTCACCACTTAGAAATGAAAAGCTTAACCTTTTTGTAAAATATTACAGATATTACAGTGACAGGTTATAATTAACTATCCATTGATAGGTGTCATTTTTAATAGTAGCTATAATTTCCATACAAAGCAAAAAACTGTCGTGGAGTCTATTATGACTCATAGAAACCCCTTACATGGCTTCTGAAACTGTAAATCTTTGGTGGAAAAGACAGACTTTCTCTCACACAATAGCTGATGAGTTTCAGCCACTGATCTTGTGGTTAACAGCCCAACCCTTAACCCACTGTGCTACCAGGTTATCTTAACAAACACTGACAGATAGATTGTTACCTTAGAGTGAGTGGGCAAAGGTCTCTATCCATGTTGATAGCGCATAGTTCTTACATCAAGTAGAATCTCTCTTCCTGCTGATCATTTTTCTTAAAGCTCCTTTGGGTTCATCATGGGAATCACCACTGTGTACATCACAGTGCTATGGCATTTTTTCTCAGCTGATTGGGATGATGGGTTGAAATACACATCAATGGTGGTGCCATAGAAGAGGGAAACCACAGTCAGGTGGGAGCCACAGGTGGAGAAGGCTTTCCACTTTCCTTTTGCAGATGGGACTCTGAGGACTGCAGAGGTGATGTAAATGTAGGAAACCAGGATGCAAAGCAAATGGGGTGATCATTATCAGCCCCCCCACCCTCAGTAAGAACCATCATCTCATTGAGGTGTGTGTCAGAGCAGGAGAGTCTCAGGAGAGGAAACAAATCACAGAAGAAGTGGGGGATCCTGTTGTCTGCACTGAATGAGAGTTGAGCAATCAGCAGGGTATGCAACAGAGCATTCAGATTGGCAATGCCCCAAGACTCAGTGAAGAGCAGGGCACAGAGCTGAGGGGTCATCTTTGTTGCATAGTGTAAGGGGTGACGTACAGCAATAAGGCTATCAGAGGCCATCACAGCCAGGAGGCAATGGTCCATGCTGGTAAGCACAATGAAAAAATAGAGCTGTGTGAGACATCAAAGGAAGGAGATGGTCTGACTCCCAAGTAAGTAGTTAACCAGCATCTTGGGGATGGTGGTAGAGAAACAGCAGATGTTCATGATCTTCATGCCTTAATAAGTAAACACTTACGTTTTTCTCTCTTCTCTGCTATAATATTACCTGAAGGAGGTTGGTGTCCTAGTTCTCATATGATCTTCATCTTTGTCTGACTGGCCAATGGTTGTATTGGAAATATAAGCAGGTCCTGAGCAAGGGTGGGTCATGGTCTTAGTCCTCTGTGTATGAAAGCTATTTGGGTGAAGTCACAGAGCAGGCATTTACAGGAGTCTCCATGTCCTGAGAGCCTTACTAGGTACAAGAGTAAAATAATAGTTACAGCTACCTCTTGTCCTCTAGACTAAATGACGATGACAATGAGTATTATACAATCCTTCAATCAGAATTTATAGATGAAAGTATCTTGGTAGAGACAAATACCAAACAAAATCCCCTGGGACCTCAACTCTCATTATAGAACTTGGAAATTCAGTTCATAAGTAATATTTTTCTTACTTTCTTATCCCAGAAGGTTAGGTTATTGCAGTGTTGTTTTTGTAAACCTGTTTGTTTTCTGATCTTCAGGCATGGTCAGCTGCATATCTGCATAAACTTCCATTGGTGTTTGCCAGTTGGGGTTCTGGGGGCACATTATAGAGCTAGTTTTAATCCCATAGTGTATTCGGGGTGGGGGGAATCTCTTGGCAGCCAGGCAGTGGGAAGAACAGGGCCTATAACATGAAGAGCATAATATGACATGATTGAGAAAATACAGAATCTAGAGGAGACTTGTTTTGGAATGTCTTCTCAGAGAATGCCTTCCCCCCCTTAAAAAAACAATAACAACATATTGCTACAAGGGTGTGTGCTCTTATGATCCAATTTACATTAAATCATTCCCCAATGATGATTCATGATTGGAAGAGGGAATTTGCAACTAAATCTGAGAGCCCACACCAGTAAGGTTTCACCTGTAACTTGCCCATCTGGTAGCTGGAAATTCTGTCCTGCCTTCCTTGACTACAAAGCAAAAGACTATAGAGAAGAGTGAAGATGAAGACAGAAGAAGAGAGAAGCTGTAGAAAGTACTGGTGGCTATGGTTCTGGGCTGCAAAACATTTCCTGATGGTTGCACTCATTGTTAATTTCAAAGTACGAACACCAAGTC